GCGGTACGTGAGTTTGCCAACTCCGGATCCCTGGCAAAGGGCCTTCCTGTCTGGCCACCTCACGTTGACTACTCCTTGGGCCCCGTGGGGAGTGCAGGTACATGAGGGAGTTTGGCTTTGTCATCCCTGAGCGGCCAGTGGTCGTGGACGATGTGCGAGTGAGGGGCACTGGCCGCAGTGGTCTTCGCCTCGAGGATGCCCCCAAAGCCCAGACCGGGCCTCCCCGGGTGGACAAGGTTGGTGGTCCTGCCCGTACCAGCCTGACAGCACCCATGGGGCACTGGGATGGGGACCAAGCCCTGTGAGAGGCATCGGGGAGGGTGCTGGGCCCGGGTGCTGCACTCACCCACACCCTCTGCAGATGACCCAGTGCTACTTTGAGGGGGGCTACCAGGAGACCCCTGTGTACCTGCTGGGAGAGCTGGGCTATGGGCACAAGCTCCATGGGCCCTGCCTCATCATCGACAGTAACAGGTGGGCTGAGGTCCAACCAGGGTGGAGGATATGGAGGGGTCAACCATGGGGCCCCTGGTGCAGGGTTCTCTGGCCCAAGGCTGCAGGGGCCTGCAGGACTCTGTATCCTACCATCGTTGGGGTGTCCCCTGGCCTGGGGCTGTGGCATCTCTGGTTGGAGGGGTGTCGTCTGGCTCCATGCAGACCCTCTGTGCCCTCTGCTCCCTAGCACCATCCTGGTGGAGCCAGGTTGCCAGGCAGAGGTGACCGAGACAGGGGACATCCGCATCTCTGTGGGGGCCGAAGTCCCTGGCACAATGGGCACCCAACTGGACCCTATCCAGCTGTCCATCTTCTCACACCGCTTCATGAGCATTGCTGGTGAGTGGCCGTGGCCAGGTTCCCTGCTGCCTGGCTCCCTGTGGGATGAGGCGCCGGCTGTGTCATGGGGTGGCTGGCAGGGCCGTGCCCAAAGGGAGAGGCAGAAGCAGGACCCCCTGGTGACGGGGCGGGCAGTGTGGCTGCAGCACTGGCATGGTGCAGTTGGCCATGAGAACAAGCCTTGGGCAAGGAGGACACCTTCCCCCTCTTACCTACAGCCATGTGATCCGGGGAGTGAACTTCTAGCTAAGGATGAGATACTGAGGGCAGCACAGGGAACCCATCTGTGCAGGGTCAGGCCAGCGGCTTGCTGGGAGCCCAGGGGTCAAGAGCCTAGGAACCAGGTTCTTGCTGTGCCAGGCAGGGTGGGAGGGTCGAGGAGTGGCACTGGGTTCTTGCTGGGGGCTCCAGGCGGGACTGGGGAGGAAGGTGGTGTCCTTTACATAGGCTAAGACATGTGGCCAAGTGGGCACACGGTCACCTTGGTCTTCCCCAGGAAAAAGCTGCTGGGTTCTGGGTTTGAGCCCCGGTGGTTCCTGTTCCTTCCTTTCCTGGGGCCATGCTGTGGGTGGATGGGGCCAGCAGGCATCTGGTCACTTTGTGCTCCCAGAGCAGATGGGCCGCATCCTGCAGCGCACAGCCATCTCCACCAACATCAAGGAGCGCCTCGACTTCTCCTGTGCTCTCTTTGGGCCCGATGGGGGGCTGGTGTCCAATGCCCCCCACATCCCTGTGCACCTGGGTGCCATGCAGGAGACGGTGCAGTTCCAGGTGCGGTGGACCCTCCCCCGCCTTCCTACCCCTCCCTCACCTCACCCTCCCACCCCTCCCTCGCCTCACCCTTCCATCCCTCTCCCTCACCCTCCACCCCACCCCACTCTGGCCCCTGCTCCACTGTGCCCACTCTGCACCCATTTCCTGGTTTCAGATCCAGCACCTGGGGGCTGATCTCCACCCTGGTGACGTGCTACTGAGCAACCATCCCAGTGCCGGGGGCAGCCACCTGCCAGACCTGACTGTTATCACACCGGTGAGGGGTGCTGCCCACCTGCCTCTGCTGGGGCAGGGGTGGCCGACGTAGCTGACCGTGGCTTTCCACCCGCTAGGTGTTTTGGCCGGGTCAGACGCGGCCTGTTTTCTATGTGGCCAGCCGAGGGCACCATGCAGACATTGGCGGCATCACACCAGGCTCCATGCCACCCCACTCCACCACGCTGCAACAGGAGGGTGCCGTCTTTCTGTCCTTCAAACTCGTCCAGGGGGGTGTCTTCCAAGAGGAGGGTGAGTGGGGTGGGGTGGGGTGGGGTGGGCCTTCTGCATTCTGGGACACATGGCCACTGCTGGCAAGCAGGCCTGGCTGGACCGTGGGATGCAGCCCATAGACCCAGGCCTGCCTTGAGGCTGGGAGGAGATAGGTGGTTACCGCAAAGGGCAACTGCAGATCGGATCCCAGGAGCTGAGAGGAATGCAGCCTGGGCCCAGGAAGGCCTCCTGAGGGGTGGTTTTGTGGGTGGAGAGTTAGCCAAGACGTGGAGGGTCAGGGTGCTGGAGGGAGAGAAGCCTGTTTCAAGGTGGGTGGCTGCTTGTGTGTGCAGTCATACTGGGTGGAGTCTGCAGAGAAACAGCAAGGCAGGGGCAGGGGCAGGGCCCAAAGGCCCCTGTAGTGTTTTCTGGGCCTAGGTCTGAGTCACTGGGTGGTGGGTGGCCGTGAAGGGCTTTCAGCTGGTCCTGCACTAATCTCCCACTGTGCCCACGTGCAGAGAGGATGCGGGGCCTGAGAGTGGCCTGGAGGCTGGGGGACAAGAGTGGGGGCAGCTGCAGTTGCCCTGGATGATGCTGAGTCTTGGGCTGAGTGGAGGGTGAGGGTGGAGGGTGGGGGACTGTTTTGGATGTGGAAGGAAGTGGGTATTTGGAGGGATTTGGGAGAGGGGGCCAGGGGTCAAGTTTGGGCAGCTGGAGGTGGAGGCCCTGGCACTGAGCAGTGGCAGGAAAGGTGGGATGGAGGCTGCAGCGGTGCCTGTGGTGGGGGTGGGGGTAGGAAGGCAGGGAAAACAAGCCCTGGTCTGAGGCTGCAGGTCTGGGAGCCCAGGGGAAGTGGCGTGGCCGGGGTGGAGGGTGGGTGTAATGGAACCACAGGCTGTTCTGGTGTTGAGGACACAAATAGAGTGGCCCATTTCCGGCTGCTGCCTTGATCAGTGTGAGCTGGGGGCAGGGGGTGTGGACCACAGAGGGACATGTGCAGGCACACTGCAGAGGGCCCTGTGGCTGCCTCAGAGAGGACCCTGAGCCAGGCTCAAGGGCAGGAGCTTTCCTGAGGTGGGGAGCAGTCCCAGGCCAGACCTCACTGCTTTCTAGGGGCCAGAGACCTTGTCTGGATTTGGGAAACCTGGGTTGGGGGTGCAGACAGGGTTGGCCAGGGGCTCAGTGATGACACTGTCCATCCAGCGGTGACTGAGGCCCTGCGGGCGCCAGGCAAGGTCCCCAACTGTAGCGGAACCAGAAACCTGCACGACAACCTGTCGGACCTCCGTGCCCAGGTGGCAGCCAACCAGAAGGGCATCCAGCTGGTGGGGGAGCTCATTGGGCAGTACGGCCTGGACGTGGTGCAGGCCTACATGGGCCATATTCAGGTGGGCCTGGGCACAGGAGTGTGGGCAGCAGGGCCATCCTGCAGGTGGCCTGGCTGCCACTGATCCTGCTCCCTGCCAGGCGAACGCTGAGCTGGCCGTGCGCGACATGTTGCGTGCCTTTGGAACCTCCCGGCAGGCCCGGGGCCTGCCCCTGGAGGTGTCCTCGGAAGACCACATGGACGACGGTTCCCCTATCCGCCTTCGCGTGCAGATCAACCTGAGTCAGGTGGGCCGCAGGGATGGCGCTTCTGGGCGGCAGGGGCATGGCGCAGCTGCTGACTGCCTCTCTCTTCCCTCCGGTGCGCAGGGCAGCGCTGTGTTTGACTTCAGCGGCACTGGGCCGGAGGTGTTCGGTAATCTCAACGCACCGCGGGCCATAACCCTGTCCGCCCTCATCTACTGCCTGCGCTGTCTGGTGGGCCGCGACATCCCGCTCAACCAGGTTCGCAGGGGTGTGTGAGCGAGGGCGGGCCCCAGCCCGAGGTCACCCTGAGTGCGCCTCCGGGCCCAGCCACGGACTGACCCCATGGGTGTTGGGGCGCGGAGGTACTATTTCTCTTGGAGCCCACCCCAAGAGCCCCTGAGAGCCGCCCTCCCCGCACAGGGCTGCCTGGCGCCAGTGCGCGTAGTGATTCCCCAAGGCTCCATCCTGGACCCGTCGCCCGAGGCGGCCGTGGTGGGCGGCAACGTGCTCACGTCGCAGCGCGTGGTGGATGTCATCCTGGGGGCCTTTGGGGCCTGCGCCGCCTCCCAGGTGCGGGGGCGGGGTGAGCGCGGTCGGGGGCGGGCCGGGTGGGCAGGCTGGAGTAGGAGTGGGCGGGCGAGGTGGGGACGCCCCGCCCCAGCCCAGCGCAGCGACCGAGTGCTCTCGCCAGGGCTGCATGAACAACGTGACGCTGGGCAACGCCCACATGGGCTACTACGAGACGGTGGCAGGCGGCGCGGGCGCGGGTCCCAGCTGGCATGGGCGCAGCGGCGTGCACAGCCATATGACCAACACGCGCATCACCGACCCTGAAATCCTGGAGAGCCGGTGAGCGGGGTGCGCGGAGCCTGGGGAGCGCGACCGGGTGGGAGCCGGGGCTCGGCCACACTAAGTCTTCGCCCTTGTCCTCGCCCTCACAGGTACCCGGTCATCCTGCGCCGCTTCGAGCTGCGGCGGGGCTCGGGGGGCAGAGGCCGCTTCCGGGGCGGCGACGGTGTCACCCGCGAGCTGGTCTTTCGGGAGGAGGCGCTGCTGTCAGTGCTGACCGAGCGCCGCGCCTTCCGGCCCTACGGGCTCCACGGTGAGCGGGTCCCCAGCCCTCGCGGCCCTCCCTGCCCCCGCCCCCGCCCCCGCCGCGGGTCCCTCTGGACTCCTCGCCTCCCTCCCCAGGGGGCGAGCCCGGTGCCCGCGGCCTAAACCTGCTGATACGCAAAAACGGCCGGACGGTGAATCTGGGCGGCAAGACGTCGGTGACCGTGTACCCTGGGGTAAGGGCCATGGCCTGTCCTGTCCCCCTCCTCTCCCGGCCCCATCCCACAGACGGGGAACAGTTGCAGACATGACCAGAGGCCGAGTTTAATCTGGCCCCCGAAGGAAAGGGGGCGCGTACCAGGCCTCTGTGGTCCCTGGGGGTGGGTGATGGATGCTGCCCTGTGGGGAGGGGACTGTGCAGGTGACAGGGAGGGGCCACAACTGCGCTGAGCCCGTACCCCCCCCAACAGGATGTGTTCTGTCTCCACACGCCCGGCGGCGGTGGCTATGGGGACCCAGAGGACCCCGCCCCACCGCCGGGGTCACCCCCTCAAGCACCGGCCTTTCCCGAGCACGGCAGCGTCTATGAGTACCGCCGTGCCCAGGAGGCCGTGTGAAGGTCCTGCAATAAAGATGCCTTAAGTCACCCGGTTCTGGGGACGCAGCTACGGCGCCTAGTTCGTGCTCCGAGTCGTGTCTGTGCGCGCCGGCTGCACGCCTGTCATCTGTGCCTGCCTTAGGAGGACACCCAGACTCGGAGCTGCAGGTTCACTACCAGGTGGTCCGTGACCCCCCCCAGGGCGGTACTGAACGTCACCTGCTCCACCTCCTGGGGGCGGGAATCAGGTTGAGGGTCGTCCCAGCGCCGCAGGCCCAGCCACCCGGGCCCTGGCACTCACTGGGCTCAGCAGGCCCCCAGGAACTCCGCAGTACGTGATGTAGTCCAGGTGCTGACCCCTCCAGGGCTTAGCTCGGCGGCTTCTGCCGGGAGGGCCGGCCAGGTAGAGGTGGCGCCCTTTCTCCTGCTCCAGGGTCCTGGAAGGGGGCGGTGTCACCAAGGCCAGGGCCCCTTTGCGCGCTTCAGGCGGGCAGTGCCTACCTCCAGGTCGCCACTCACCGCCTCAGCATCTCGGGGGAGGAGGCCACGGAGTGGTGGAGCACGGAGCTGCGCAGTGCGGTCCCTGGGGGATCTGGGGGAGGGAGGCATCAGCCAGAGCCTCGGCCGACAGCGCTCCCCAGGTCCACTCCCCGCTCTGGTACCCTCCCCCCAAGCACGATACCCAGGGCCCAGGGCTGCTCTTGGCGCGTGCCCATCCGGCAGGGGTCCTGGAAGCGGCAGAAGAGCTTGTGCTGCTGCTGCAGCGCAGAGAGAGGCTGGAGCGCGGTGGGCGGGGCCGGGCCTCCTGGCTCCGCCCCTGCCTCCCTGCCCTCCCCTCCTGCTGGACCTTTCGAGAAGTTATCGAAGTTTAGGTCGCCCAGGAGCACGCGTAAAGCCACGACCCCTCCACTTTGTTCGCTCTCGGCCTCAAACTTCTCGGCTCAGTCCAGCAGCAGCGTCAGCTGTTTGCTGCCCAAGGGCCCGTCCTCTGTGCGGGGAAGGGGGGTGGGGTGGGCTCGGCTCCAGATTCGGACCCGCATCTTGGACAGTCAGCTCCCGGCTCCCCAGTTCCTGATCTGTGAGCCCGACAGGCACCTCTCAGGAATTCCCATGCCTGGGGCAGTGAACATAGGGCGGGAGGTGGGGGCGGGGTGCAGGTGAATGTAGGGATCAGTAGCCACCACGGAGAGGCGGGACCTGTTCTGAGGACCCACCCGCAGGGCTCACCAGCCAGTGCTTGCAAGTGCGTGCAGTGCAGGAATCCCACGATGTGGCGCCCGTCCAGGCTGCCCAGCTGCGCCTACAACACCACGGACGGCCCCAGCTTCCCTCGCCTTCTTGGCTGAACCCCGTCCCCTCTGTGCTCTGGGCGGGGTAGGCCAGTACCTGTGTGGACAGTAGTCCCTTGGAGGCCAGCGTGTCCTCGCCACGCGCGTGGGGGAAGCAACGGAAGGTGGCGCACAGCAGCGGGTAGCGCGAGGCCAGCAGCAGCCCGCTGTCCAGTAGCTTGAGGTGCGGCCCGGTCTGTAGGCCAAGTGTGCCGACGTCGTACAGCACCGGGCCCAGGTTGGGCGTCAGGCGATTCACCAAGTGACCAGCTGCGCGCAAATCGAATACCTCCTGCAGACACACAACGTCCAGACCCACGGGCAGCGAGGCCACCAGCGTCCCACGCGGCGCCCTGGGCCACAGTTGGCTGCAGTCCGTAGCCCTATAGAGCGCGGCGCCAATGGCCTCAGCCGGTCGCTGGCTGTGTGGCAGGTTGCTGAAGCGCGACAGCCTGTCCAGGAGCAGGCACAGATTGGCCATGAGGAAGATGAAGCAGCGCCCGGGTTCGGCAGGCGGGCGCCAGAGCGCGGGCGGCGCCCAGCACAGCGGAGGGGGGCGGTAGCAGAAGGGGCGGCGCCAAACCTGCAGCGCCAGCCAGAGTGGCAGGCGGGTCAGCGCCAAGGGCAGGCCGACCACCACCAGCAGCAGCAGCGCCACGAGGCCGCTCGCCCCCCTTCTCAGCCATCCCAGGCTGATCGGGCTCGCCGTTGGTGCACAGCAGCCCAGAAGCTGGTCCAGGGCCCAGTAGGCCGGGGAGAGCAGCTCGTGGGCCAAGCCGTGGAGTGCGTGCAAAGCCGGGTGCGGGAAGGGTGAGGGCCGCAGGGCGTCAGTCGCCCGGGGCCAGTTGGGCGGGGATTGCATGGTACACCTAACTCTTCGGCCGCGGGGCGCCGGGGAGACTCATTGGCTTCCAGAGGACAAGCTGACTTGTCGGTGCATCAGCGCGAGCTGCGGGGGAGTCACAGGGGTGAAGGCCGCGTGGCACAGCGTGTGCGCAAAGCCGGTGAGGTGCTGACCCAGCGAGCCTGGCGGAGGCGCGGGCGTAGGCAGAGGGGCGCTTCAGAAAGAAAACCCGAAAGGGACCTGATCTCAAATCCCCACCCTGGATCCTCCTTGCCCCGCCCTATACACCCGCGAAGGTCACACAGGGAACCTGTGAGGTCCGCCCAACGCAAGCGGGATCGGGATGCAGCCTGCAGCAAGTGGAGGACGACCGTTCTTGAGTGCGGGCTGCGCAGGGCTGGTGAGGAGCAAACAGTGTGCTCTGCCCCCGGCTCCCCTGTACCCGCCCCCACGCAGGTCAGCATGGAATAAGTCGCGCACTCCGGCTGCCCAGACGGCAGAATCCACCCCACCCGCTACGCGTGTCTCTGCGGCCCGGTGGTGTCGGGCGCCTGAGTTCAAAGACCTGACACCTGAGGAGGGATGGACTCCCGCCTAGCGCCCCACAAAGTCCCCCAAAAGGCCAGCCCGCAGTGGTGATGGCCCTGTGGCCCTATCCCATGGAGCTTCCAATCTAAGGAGAGGGACTGTTGGTTCTGCCCTGCGCGTAGCTCTGCTGCTGCACGCGAGCCAGACGGAAGCGTTTCCCCATTCTCCCCATTCGTGGAGCGCTCTGGCATACCCTCAGGAGCTCCCAGGACAGGATGGCCGGTAGCTCCCAGGCTCTGCTCACCTCCCACCTTTCTAATTGGGCCTGTGAACCAGCACACACTCTCCCGGTCAGCTGGGTGCAAGCGTCTCTTAAATAGCCCTGGGAGTTGGCAGGGAGGTGGAGAGGCTTCTGACAGAGCTCTTCCCTGCCCTTCCCAGGGACGAAGAGGCTGGGTGTCTGGTTGGATTCCCTGGAGGCCTGGGAGTGGGGAGGGCAGAGGCAGGAAGCTCAGCAGCCCAGGCATCCTCGGAGGGCTTGGCACACCCTGCATACCCGCTCCTTCCCTGGACTCCTTACTGGTTGCTGAAAGATTCCCATTGGAACTCAGACCTTGTGGGTCCACTGTTGCCTCGTGCTATCCTCTCTGTCTGGCAAGCACTGGTGCCCCAGGACCCTCCTCAGTTGGGGTTTCGATCTCCCTCCCATTGCAGCCAGCCTCCTTGCCTTCCTGCCTGCAGACTTGCTCCTGTCTCACCCTGTGGTGTGGGCCCCTCTGCGCTTTCCTACACTGCGCTTCTCCCCTCCCATGTCTTCCTCCCCAGGGACTTCCCATCCTGGCCGGCTCCCTCAGCTTCCTGCACTCTCCACAAGCCCTTCCCAGCACCCCATCTGCCCTTAGTGCACTGTGGGAGGCCCCTGGCCTGCCCCCAAATCCTGCTTGTGCTCCTCAGCTCCTGCAGCAGGTGGCGTCTGCCCTTGCCAGCTCTGAATCCCTCTCAAAGTCTCCAGGACCTGTGGGATGGCCTTGGGTGTCTTGGGAAGGGGCCGCCACTTCGCTGGGCTGCCCCATGCCCATGTTGGGGTGAGGATGCTTTCTCCTGGCTCTTCTCCCTTGAATGTCCTCTTGTCCTCAAGGCCTGGAAGACTGCCCCCCTCCACCCCTCACCCAGCCCCGGCCTAGTATGGAGGCAGGGATCCCACACCCACATCCTTGTCTCCTCCCACCTCTGCCAGCTCCGTGCCCCTCACCACTGCGGCAGGCACAGAGCCACAGCCCTTCCCTCCCCGCTCCACCCCTTCCTGGTTCCTACCCTTCCCCATCCAGGTCCCAGGAGCTCCCACTGCTCTCAGTGCCATGGGAGGGGAGCCTGGGGGCCTTCAGACCAACCCCTCGCAGACCACTGCTGAGCCTTGGCCTCTCGGGCTCTCGCAGAGGGTCCAGGATGGGCATTGACCTCCAGGGCAGGCAGGGCTGAAGGGGCACGGTGCAGGGGCCTGGTGAGCCACCTCAGAGGAGGCAGCACCACCCAGGAGTGCTGGCACAGGCCCAGCGACCAGCGTCTGTGGGAAGCTTTAATGGCTGTGCAGAAGACTGTGGGGTTGAGTGAGCCTGGACCTCCCAGCTCCAGCGTCACCAGATGAACATGGGCTTGCCATCATCGTGCGCCAGCTGGTTGAGGCAGGAGAGCAGCAGCAGCGCGTCGGTGAGCATGCTAGGGTGCACGGTCTCCACTAGCACGCGCTGCAGGAAGTCCACAGTGTAGGTGCCGCCCTCGGACGCCGCCAGCTCCGGGCGCTCTCGCAGGATGCCATAGGCGTTCACCAGCTGTTCGGTCAGCGCAGGGTGCACCCGCCCGTTGTAGCCCAGACTCTGCAGCCTGTTCATGATGCTCACGTAACGCTGTGTGAGCATCTGGCACAGCTCCTCGTCCAGCTTGTGGTCACTGGGGTTCAGGGAGGCCTGCGGGGAGAGCGGCCATCAGGGACCCTCCTTTGCCACACCTCCACACACAGGCAGGTAAGGGGAAGACCGAGGGGCACGTGAGGCTGCGAGACGGCCAGGATCCGAGGGGTGTGCGGTGGGGAGGTTCTGCGAGGGACCTCAAGGGTTTAGGACAGGGAAGCCCAGTGGGCAGAGCCGGACAGAGAGGTCTTCAAGGCCTGATCCGGGCGGGGCAGGTGGCTCCCAAAGCTCCCCAGTGGGGCCTCATCCACAGGGTGAAAGAGGATGCCCCAACCCTGTCGTCTGCTCCACCCACCACCAGGGATTGCAGTTGGGCTGAGGCCTCCAGGGACTGAGGACAGGGGCTGTGGCTAGGCATCTGGAGGCACACAGGGTCCCCTGACCCAGGGGTCTGGGGTCTTTCCCAGGCCTCCTCCTGGCTCCCTGCTCTGCTCCCTCTCAGCGTCTGAAGGCCCCCCCTTCCTTACCCTGGCCTCCATCCTCAACACCCTCTAGCCTGCACACCCCCTAGGGAACTCCCTTTCTTCCCCCAGCACTGAACTGACAACCCCAGCCAAGTGTTGGCCCCAGCACTGAGGGGCCTGTCTCCTTCACCTGCCTCCTCCTGGGCCTGGAAACCAGCACATCTGGGTCAGTTTCCACTCACTTCCTCATGCCCTGTGTCCTCCCACCAGCCAGGCAGTGACTGGGTCCCACCCTAAGGCCTGTAATCATGAAGGCAGCCCCTCCCACCCCGCCTGCCACTGCCCCCTGGATGTGTGACCTGGGCAGTTGTGGAAAGCCCAGTGCCCAGCTCAATGCTCTGTTGGCACCATCCTGAAATTCTAAGTTTTGAATTATTTTCATTTTGCACTGGGCCCTGCCAATTTTGCAGCCTGTCTCAGGTGCAGCTGCCCCCGCCTCCAGGCTTGGCCCTGCCCACTCTCTGCACAGGCCCACAGAGCCATGGGTCTGAAGTGGAGTTGGGTGGGTTAGCCCCTGCCTGAGCTCCTCGTATAGTTTCCACTGCTCCAACACTTGGGGGAGGGCCACCCTCCAGTGTCCCCCAGTCTGTCCCTGCACCTCTCTTCCAGCTACGTCCTACTGTGTCCCAGATGCCTGACTTGGTGGTCCCCAACCTGCTGGGAACACTCTTGCCCAGACAAGCTGTTCAGGCACCACCCCTTGGGGAAGGCTCCCAGGCTGGTGGTCGTGTGTGCAGGGTACCAGGCTTGGGGCTGGACTTAGGACTGGGCCCAGTTAATGTGACGCCAACCTCTGCTAAGTGCTCCCAGAGCCTGCGCTCAGCACCCCTGTTGCCTGGGACGTGCCTGGGATGCGCCCGTCTCTCCCCAGTGGGAGGTTCTTGGCCCCTGAGCCTTCTAGGCAAATGAGCAATATGCACAGTTGTGGGAGCAGGAAGACACCATCGAGGTTCAGCACAGGAGTAAGGGTCGGCGGACAGCCATGTTTAACGGCTGCTTCCGCACCACCCTGGGCCTGAGCCTCAGTTTTGCTGCTGGGATGTGAAGGAAATCATGGTGCCACCTGCAGGAGTGTTCTGAGGGTTACAGGCAGCGGCCCCGGTGAGCACTGAGCACCAGGTCACGCGGGGGCCCCCACCCCGGGGAATGGCAGTGCCCTCACATCTCACAGTGCAGCGAGTTGTGTCTTGTTGTTGTTTTGAGATGGAGTCTTGCTCTGTCGCCCAGGGTGGAGTGCAGTGGTTCGATCTCGGCTCGCTGCAACCTCCGCCTCCCGGGTTCAAGGGATTCTTCTGCCTCAGCCTCCTAAGTAGCTGGGATTACAGGCGCATGCCACCACACCTGGCTAATGTTTTAGTATTTTTAGTAGAGACGGGGTTGCATCACGTTGGCCAGGCTGGTCTCAAACTCCTGACTTCAGGTGATCTGCCCGCCTCGGCTTCCTACAGTGCTGGGATGACAGGCGTCAGCCACCACACCTGGCTGAGGTGTGTCAGTTGTGTCTTATAAATATCACCCTGTCTTAAAAATATTCCTTCAAGGCCAGGCATGGTGGCTCACACCTGGCCACAGCTCAAGCCTCAGTTTGGGAGGCTGAGGCAAGAAAATTGCTTGAACTTGGGAGACGGAGGTTGCAGTGAGCCAAGGTTGGGCCTCTGCACTCTAGCTGGGTGACAGAGCAAGACTCTGTCTCCAAAAAAAAAAAAAAAAAAAAAAAATTTAAGGCTGGGCTCATGCCTGTAATCCCAGCACTTTGGGAGGCAGAGGCAGGCGGATCACTTGAGGCAGGGAGTTTGAGACCAGCCTGGCCAACACGGCAAAACACCATCTCTACCAAAAAAATACACAAAAATTAGCCAGGTATGGTGGCGGGTGCCTGTAATCCCAGCTACTTGAGAGGCTGAGGCAGGAGAATTGCTTGAACTCAGGAGGTGGAGGCTGCAGAGAGCTGAGATTGTACCACTGCACTCCAGCCTGGGTGACAGGATCAAGACTCTATCTCAAAAATAAATAAATAAATACAAATTTAAAAAAAATAAACAAATTAGCCAGGTGTGTTGGTGCATGCCTGTAGTCCCAGTTAGCAGGGAGGCTGAGATGGGAGGGCCACTTGAGTGAACCATGGTTATGCCACTGCACTCCAGCCTGGGCGACAGAGTGAGACCCCATCTTAAAAAAAAGTTGCGGCCGGGCGCGGTGGCTCAAGCCTGTAATCTCAGCACTTTGGAAGGCTGAGACGGGCGGATGACGAGGTCAGGAGATCGAGACCATCCTGGCTAACACGGTGAAACCCCGTCTCTACTAAAAAGTACAAAAAAACTAGCCGGGCATGGTGGCGGGCGCCTGTAGTCCCAGTTACTTGAGAGGCTGAGGCAGGAGAATGGCGTGAACCCGGGAGGTGGAGCTTGCAGTGAGCTGAGATCCGGCCACCGCACTCCAGCCTGGGCGACAGAGCGAGACTCCGTCTCAAAAAAAAAAAAAAAAAGTTGCAGTAGGGAAAGGCTGTGAAGAAGTCCTCTCGCACGCAGGCCTGTAACAGGATTTATCACAAAAACTTCCTCAAGAGTGCAGGATTCCAAGACACTGCTTGCTCAAGGCCACTCGCTTAACAGTGGCCTTCACCAATGAACAAGGCCACTGCAGTGAGCTTCTGTGACTTCTAAACTTGGTTTCAAGGCAGCTTACATGGACATCTCTGTCTTTAAAAGCTTCCCTTTTGGGGCCGGGCGCGGTGGCTCATGCCTGTAATCCCCGCACTTTGGGAGGCTGAGGCGGGCGGATCACCTGAGGTCGGGAGTTTGAGACCAGCTTGGCCAACATGGAGAAAACCTGTCTCTACTAAAACTACAAAAAAGTTAGCCGGGCGTGGTGGTGCGTGCCTGTAATCCCAACTACTTGGGAGGCTGAGGCAGGAGAATTGCTTGAACCTGGGAGGCAGAGGTTGTAGTGATCCAAGATCGCACCATTACGCTGCAGCCTGGGTGACAAGAGCGAAGCACCATCTCAAACAACAACAACAACAACAACAACAAAATATATATATATGTATGTTAGCTGGGTGTGGTAGTGTAAACCTGTGGTCACCAGCTACTTGGGAGGCTTGAACCCTTAGGAGTTCATGCTTGCAGTGAGCTAGGATCACGCCACTGTTCTTCAGCCTGGGCTGTCTTGAAAGAAGAGGCTGGGGCAGCGGAATCGTTTGAACTGAGAGGCAGAGGTTGCAGTGAGCTGGGTACATACACTATTGTGTACTCTTTTTTTTTTTCAGGTGGAGTCTTGGTTTGTTGCCCAGGCTAGAGTGTAATGGCGCAATCTCAGCTCACCCTGGGCAGGTGACAGAGCGAGAGTCCATCTGAAAACAAAAAACACGAACAAACAAAAACCTCCACACACAAAACTAACCAAAGGATGCTTTAACCAGAGGCAAAGCTCAAACCTGGACCCTCGGGGCTCACAGTAGCTCCTGCTCAGGCTACACAGAGGCCTGCAATCCACAGATAATCACAGCTGGAGAGAAAAAGCGGCCGGGAGTGCGGCTGGGCTGTTTTCTCAAGAGAAGCCCGAGTGGTAAGTAGCGATGCAGCTGCCCTCCCTGCCCGGCAGGCGCACACCCCCAATCCAGCTTCCCCGTGCCTTCTACAGCCTGCCACACGCGTGGCACAGACGCACACTCGGGCGTGTTGGCAAAGCATCATTCTCCACGTGTGTCCACAGAGGAGGCCATCCTGGTGGCAAAGGGCAAGAGCCGCCCGACCTTGCTGAAACCCCCCACCTCGCCTTCCTCCGAGGAGACCTTGGGCTCCCACTGCCAGACGCCCCAACACCCGCCGGCCGCTGGCACTGAGCAGTCAGCTTCCTCTATCCCAGGGACTCCTCAGGTCATGGCACGTTTGGCCTGGCCAGAATGCAGGGTCCCCACAGCCCCTCATGGGCCAGCCTGCCCCCTGTCCCTGCAGGCCCCTGGCCACACACCTGGATGATCTTCTCCGGGATGTTGGAGACAGTGAAGCCGTAGAGCCGCACGCGCTCTGGGAAGATGCTGGACAGGATCCTTCGGTCCAGCTGGAAGGCGATCTCACCCACCAGCCTCTCCCAGGCCAGCTGCTTCGACTCTGGGGACACAGGGTCTCATCAGCCCAGGTGAGAGGGTGAGAGGGACTGGGGTCAGCAGCCCAGGCAGGCGGCAGGGAGAGGGCCTGGGGGCCCGACCTGCATGGAGCCCGCAGTGTCACTGACCTCGGGCGCTCTCGGGGAACTTGCTCGTCTTGCGGTGGGCCAGCTTCCGTTCCACCTCCATCATGCTCTTCCTCGATGGTTCCGTGGCGCGTGGACCCCGAGAGTCATTGACTGAAGCCGGGGAGGATGATGTACGAGGTGGGGAGTGGGGGTTGTGTGGAGGAGAGTGGGGGGCAGGCAGGTTCCGGGTTGGGGAATTGTGCATTCGGGAAGGGGGATGGGGGGCACCCTGGGCGATGTGGGTGGTGCTTGAGGGGGTGTAGCTGGTGGCAACCTGGGGGGTGAGGGCGGGGGCAGAGGCAAGGACAGTGACTGTGGGGGAGCTGGGGACAGATGCAGGGACCACTTGTTCCTGGGTGGCACTGGGCTGAGTCTGTGTGTCTGAAGTGTTGAAGGAGAAGGCCGTCTCGGGAGCAGGTGTGCCCATGGCTCCGACGGGGGTGGAGGTCTGGAGGGGTATGCCTGCAAACGCCGTGCTGAGAGGCTCTGGGTCCTGGGTCGACCGGGGGGGCTCAGTGGAGAGTGGGACTAGTGATGTGGAGGGGACAGAAATGAAAGGAGGGGTATTAGAGTGAGGTGGGAGGGCTCTGCCCCGCCCACTCTGCCACCCACCACCCAGCACACCTGTTACCTTTGGTGGTGGCAGCAGGTACCATGCAAGCTGGGGAGTGGGGCCCAGAGGGGCCTCTGCGGAGGGGCTCAGCCAGCCGCAGCCTTGGGGCCTCTGGCAGGACCTGGTTGCCCATGGGGTTGGCCAGCAGGTTCTGAGAGACCCCTAGTGGGGTGGCAGTGGAGCTGAGGAGGGGGCTGCTCAGAGAGACGGCCACCGTGCCCGTCACGGGGGCTATCAGGGGGCTGCTCTGGGACACGGCCACAGGGCCTGCCAGGGGGCTGCTGGGAGTCAGGGGGCCAGTGGAGGGCAGGCCCAGGGAACTGGCCAGTGTGCCCGTTGGGGGCCCCGCCACAGGGCTGGTCAGGAAGCCGGTGAGGGGGCTGCTCTGTGACAGGGGTGCTGGGCCGGACAGCAGCGTGCTGAGGGTGCCTGTCAGGGGGCTCATGAGTGAGCCTGGCATGGTGCTGGGCTGCAAGCTGGTTAGCATCTCGGCCAGGGGTGTCAAGGCCATGATCCCCACTTCTTCCAGGACTGGTTCATTTGCCACTGCTGGGGACGGGGGCAGGAAGACACCTGGGAACACAGAGAAAGCACTGAGGCTCTAGGGGAGCCCCTCCAGACCAAGGGGAGGGTGGTCGCAGGCTCTCCCTCTGTGGTAGGGCCTGGCCACGGTGCCCATCTGTCCCCGATGAGCTGACTGGTCTGACCTGGCCTCTCTGAGCCTCACTTCTTAGGCAGGCCAGGGTGGTGGCCTCTCTGCCTCTGTGGGGAGTCTGTGCCTGCTCAAAGGAGCCTGGGAGTGGTTCCCCAAGGCCTCATCTCCAGCCCTGATTTTTGTGTCAGTTCTCCCAGGCTCACTTCTCGGACCACTTGCCCACTGCCCCCAGCCATGGGGACGTCCCACTGCCCTTTCCTCAACCGTGCCCACCCCTTGCCCAGCAGAGGGTCTCCAAGCAGCTGGACTCTCAGGTCACCAAGTTGGCCCCTCTGTTTTTTGGTGGAGAGAAGAGGGCCCAGGCCTCCTGACCACTATCTTTGTGATGGGGAATAAGCCCCACCAGGTGGGGGCTCCTCAGGGGGTCAGTGCTGCAATGGGCAGAGCCTCACGTGGCCCAGCACCCATGCATGGTCCCTGCCCTGTGGACCTTGCTGTGGCCTGAACAGGGATGCAGGTCAGAGCTGGTCACACACCCCGGTCCTAGACATTGCTTTATGCGCTCTTCCTGCCCCCGGAGCCTGCTCTCCTTGGTCCTGGAGGAGTGCTCCTTTTACTGGCCACTGTTTTGGGGAGAAGCCCCCGATCCCCTGGGGGTGCAGCTGCTGGCAGGAGTGGTGGGAGTGCAGAGAAGGTTTTTGTGAGTATGCAATTTCATTGAAAACTTCCACTTTTGTTGTTATAAAAGCAGTACATGCTTATTATAGAGAAAGAATAGAAATACAGAAAAAAAGATGAAAAACCACAGATAGTTCCATCATCCCACGGTTAGTCTCTATTGAGGAGCCGCGTGTTGCCTTGGAGACCTTCTCCACCGTGTGTATATAGATCAGGAGTTGGCAAGCATTCTCTGTGGAGGTCCAGAGGTAAATACTTCCACCTTTGCCAGCTGTATGGTCCCTGTTGCAACCGCTAAAGCCTGCCGTTGCCTTGAGAAGGCAGCCACAGGCAACCCAGAGGTGAATGAGGGAGGATGTATGGCAATAAACCTTTATAGATGAACACTACATTTTGGATTTCATGTGTCACGTAATAGTAGTTTTATTTTAACCATTTAAAAATGTACAGTTCAATCACTTGTGCCCAGGAGTTCCAGACCGGCCTGCTCAACGTGGAGAGACCCTGTCTCTACAAAAAATACAAAAATTAGCCAGGCGTGGTGGCATGAACCTGTAGTCCCAGCTACTTGGGAGGCTGAGGTGGGAGGATCATTTTAGCCCAGGAGGTTGAGGCTGCAGTGAGCCATGATTGCACCATGATCACACCACTGAACTCCAACCTGGGCGGCAGAGTGAGACCCCCATCTCAATATAATCATTTAAAAAAAGTAAAATTCATGTTTTTTTGTTTGTTTGTTTTTTGTTTTTCTTTTTTTGAGACGGAGTCTGGCTCTGTTGCCCAGGCTGGAGTGCAGTGGTATAGTTTCGGCTCACTGCAACCTCCGCCTCCTGGGTTCAAGCGATTCTCCTGCCCCAGCCTCCCGAGTAGCTACAGGTGCATGCCACCACGCCGAGCTAATTTTTGTGTTTTTAGTAGAGATGGGTTTCACCATGTTGGCCAGGATGATCTCGATCTCTTGACCTCGTGATCTGCCTGCCTCGGCCTCCCAAAGTGCTGGAATTATAGGCATGAGCCACTGCGCCCAGCCGTAAAATTCATTCTTTTTTTTTTTTTTTGAGACGGAGTCTCGCTCTGTCGCCCAGGCTGGAGTGCAGTGGCGTGATCTTGGCTCACTGCAAGCTCTGCCTCCTGGGTTTACGCCATTCTCCTGCCTCAGCCTCCCGAGTAACTGGGACTATAGGCATCTGCCACCTCGCCCGGCTAATTTTTTTTCTCTTTGTATTTTTTAGTAGAGACAGGATTTCACTGTGTTAGCCAGGATGGTCTCGATCTCCTGACCTCATGATCCGCCTGTCTCAGCCTCCCAAAGTGCTGGGATTACAGGCTTGTTACCGCGCCCGGCCGTAAAATTCATTCTTAACAGGTTGTGTGCAAAGGTAGTAGTGGCATAGATCACATGCCCTTTTGTACCTCGCCTCTTTTCACGGGACCCACACTGCGGCAGCTCCGGCATCGTGATTCTTTGAGAATGACACTATTGTAGCTGCAGAGGCCTCATCTTACGGGCATGCTATTTTTTTACTGAGCCTATCCCAATGGTTGGGCGTTTAAATTGATTCCTGTGTTCCCTGATGACAAAAACCCTATTATGTAAGTCTTTATGATTGTTTTTTTTTTCCTGAAAATAGACATTTTAGAGGCTTCCTCGAAAGAGTTCTAATGTTCCCCAGGAAGTCTCTGGGTGCACTACCTCTATCTCTTCTGTCGCTAATCCTCTGTGATGTGTGGTGAGATGTTCTGCCACTTTATTTGCCTTTTGAATTCTAAGTTCTGGGCCGGGTGTGGTGGTTCATGCCTGTAATCCTAGCACTTTGGGAGGCCAAGATGGGTGGATCGCTTGAGCTCAGGAGTTTGAGACCAGCCTGGGCAACATGGTGAAACTCCGTCTCTACAAAAAATCCAAAAATTAGCCGGGTATGGTGGCATATGCCTGTAGTCCCAGCTACTTGGGAGGCTGAGGTGGGAGGATCACCTGATCCCAGGAGGTCAGGGCTGTGGTGAGCCGTGATCGTGCTACTGCACTTCAGTCTGGGTGATGTCATGAGATCCTGTCTCATAGAAACCGAAAAACTTCTAAGTTCCGTTTTCCAAACAAATAAATCAAAATTGCACAATCCAATCAACTGCTCTTTTACTTATGTATTTATTTTTATTTTTAGAGATGGGAATCTAATTCTGTGGCCCAAGCTGGTCTCAAACTCCTCAAGCAATCCTCCTGCCTCCGCTTCCTAAAGCGATGGGATTATAGTTGTCAGTCACCACTCCCAGCCTGGTCTTTTATGATTTCTTGTTTTGACTTTTTAGAAAGTTTTGTTTTAGGACCCAGGAGACAATAAAGCTTATGGGCCAAAGGCAAGCAGTTCATGCAGAGGACAGACTTGAAGGAGAGGGAGCACAGGGTGGGGCAGATGGAGGGATGGGCTGCATGTGTTGAGGTGGAGGATGGAGCTCAGAGTGGGGCTGTCTGTCCTGCTTGGCCTCCATTTCCTTAGGAGAGCCCAGGGTCTGGGCGATGTGGGAAAGGACCACTTTGGGGCAACATGTGCAGGATGGCCGGGGAGAGGCAGTCAGGGGCCACTGTCTCTGCCTGCACGGCCAGGGCAGCCTAAGGAGCACCAGTGGTCCCAATGTTTGAAGCAGCCAGGTCAGGCGAGAAGACAGGACAAATGCTTCCTCTTGTCGCCTGCTCTGGGAAGATGACCGCTGTGGAGGGACCGGCTAGTCAGGGCTGAGAGGGAGCACAGCACTGGACAGGCCATGGCCTCGTCCCCAGAGGGAAATGACCCAGTGTTTTTCGACCAAGTTGGATTCCAGGCAGACCATCACATAGCACACAGAAGGTAACCAAAGGAGCAATCCACAGAAAGTCTAACACCAAAATGTATAAAGCAGAAGCCACGGGGACTCCCAGGAGGTGCTGGAGAGGTCGCTTTGTCAAGGTCCAGGACAGAAGGAACAATGGCGCAGGCACAGATGGTGGAATTACAAAGCCAGTCTACTATCTAATGTGCTGCTGCACCCTGAGAGGGTGGTGTGGCTGCTGGGAGCTGGATGCCATTGGTACCCTCTGCCCCTCACCCAAATACAGTAAGTGCTACCCACTTTCTTCGCATGCTGCCTCATCCTGCCAGGAACAAGGACTCCAGGGAAGGCCAAGTACAAATCAGAGACAGAAGCATGTGGACAGGGTTGATAAGGGGAGGGCAGGCAGGCCTGGGGAGGAGAGCCTGTGAGAGCAGGGGGTAGATGCCAGGCCTCAGAAAGACCCATCCTGTTTGTCTGTTAATGGCAAAACCTGGCACAACTGGCCGGGAGCGGTGGCTCACGCCTGTAATCCCAGCACTTTGGGAGGCCGAGGCGGGCGGATCACGAGGTCAGGAGATGGAGACCATCCTGGTTAACATGGTGAAACCCTGCCTCTACTAAAAATACAAAAAATTAGCTGAGAGTGGTGGCGGGTGCCTGTAGTCCCAGCTACTCAGGAGGCTGAGGCAGGAGAATGGCGTGAACCCGGTAGGCGGAGGTTGCAGTGAGCCGAGATTGTGGCATTGCACTCTAGCCTGGTGACAGAGCGAGGCTCCATGTAAAAATAAATAAATAAATAAATAAATAAATAAATAAATAAATAAAAGCTGAGAGTTGCATTCTCCACTCTGAAAAAGAGGTGGGTAAATACTCCCCATGTGTCTGGTGATGTCCTTTAAGGGGTGTATGTGAATATCAAGTTAATTTTTTTCTTTATATTTTCGTGTACTTTCCAAAATCTTCACAATATGAGTGTGTATTTTAAAAAACACTTTATGAAGAAAAGTGTTTTCTAAAAAAAAAAAAAAAAAAAAAGTACATTTCTGCCTGGTTTTGTCTTGAGACCAGGAGGGGCCACAGCCCTGCTCACACTTAGCAAACAAAGCTAGGCCCTTACGGGCAAGGCTGGTTCAGGGGTGGCCCAGCCTCACATGGAGAGGGATCTGTGCTTCCTTCCCAGGCTGTGCCATGGAGGTCCCTGCATGCCCAGTCCTCTTTGTGGCACCTTTGGCTTCCCTGTCCTCCAGCACTCACTCTACAAAGTGCGCCTCCCCAGGAGACCTCCTGCGTTCCCTGGCCAATGCTGGGCCTTTGTGGTCAACTGGGCAGAGCCCTGTAAATAGGCCAACTGCAGAGGAGGGACGGGGAGAACTCAGATTGATAGAAGTAAAGGTTAGGCCCTGAAAAACAAGGGATTTTCAAATCCAAATGA